TTTTTTTTTTTCTCCCACATGGTTTTCAGACCATTGATGAAAGAGAAACTACATCAAGGGATCACGCTTGTGGTTGACAGATACGCCTTTTCTGGAGTGGCCTTCACCAGTGCCAAAGAGGTGAGTGAGACCTGCAGCAGCCCATGCCCCCTGTGTATTTGGGGAAGCAGCTCCACTTAGAGGCTCCAGAGAACTGGGGAAATTAGGATTGAAATAGAGGGATGGAAGTTCCAGCTCAGGTACTGACATGGTCTGTTGGCCCAGATCTACCCCTTCCCCAGAGAGAGCAGGGAAACTAACTCGGTTACTCTTTGTAAATGTGGACAGGCTCCTGGCTGTTGGGAAGCCAGCCTATTTGACTCTGGAGAATGATTATGTGAGTTTATTTGAGATTCTCCACACTTGCTCTTGCTGCTCACCCATACATTTGGAAAGAATAACAGAACCACCTATGTTGGAAGGGACCTGTGGAAGTCACGAAGCCCAGCCTCCTGCTCAAGAGCAGGTCTAACATCAAGCAGGCTGCTTGGGACCACATCCATCCCAGGTCTGAGTATATCCAGGGATGCAGATCCACAACCTTTCTGGGCTATTCTTTCAGTGTTCGATCACCCTCATGGTAAAAATTATTTTCTTCATTTAGCCTGAATTCCGCACATTCCCACCTGCACCTTTTGACCTGTCTCTGTTTTCAAGACAAATCAGATCTGTCAGCCTCTCTTTGGGTCATTCTACACAGCACTAAGATCCTCCTGAGTCTTGTGTTCATTCTCGTGCTCTGAGAACGCTGCCCTGGAAGATCAACCAGTTCTCCTGGGCCTCTGTCTTCCATGTGAGTTTCCCAAAGCATCCAGCCAAGAGGTCCCTAATAAACAGAAATCCGCTCTCCTGAAGTCGACACTAGCAATTCTGTTTTGTTGACTCCTCTCCAGATTTTAAACCAGTCTTGTGTTCGCTGCAGCCAAGGCTGCTCTTGACCTTCACATCTTCAACCAGTTCTTTCTTGCTCATGAGTAACAAATCCAGCAGGGCACCTCCCCTCACTGGCTTATTGATCGCTGTCTCAAGAATTTCTTCAGCATGCTCCAGAAACCTGGATTGCTTGTGCCCAGCAGATGGGCAGGTGGTTTAGATCCTCCATGAGTACCAGGACCTGCAGTTGTGATCCTCCTTCCAGCTGTCTAAAGAAGGTTCCTCAGTGTCCTCTCTACAACCAAGCAGTCTGTTGCAGGCCCTGCCCCGACATCACCCAGTTACTCTGCCTCGGTTGTGCTGCTTTCAGGTGAGCCTTCATTATAGTATCGTCCCCCAGACATGTCCTCCTGGCCTCCCACCTTCAGTTCTCTACAGATTGCAAACCTCTGACATGCCTAGTGTAAAACTCTCTTCACAGGCTTAGCAAGCCTGTTTCCTGCTCAGTCACCATCAGTCCTCAAAGAGCTTCCTGTTGTCACAGAAGATGAAGCCCTGTCAGCAACACCAGCTGTGTAGCTGAGAGGTGACCTACAGTTATTCCTGCCCAAGCCTTTCCTGCTTTTCCTGGAAGGACTGAGGAGATTGTGTGCCCTGCACCCTCACCTCCAGAGCCCCCCAGTCACTCTTGATACATTTGAGCTCAGTCACCATCAGTCCTCAAAGAGCTTCCTGTTGTCACAGAAGATGAAGCCCTGTCAGCAACACCAGCTGTGTAGCTGAGAGGTGACCTACAGTTATTCCTGCCCAAGCCTTTCCTGCTTTTCCTGGAAGGACTGAGGAGATTGTGTGCCCTGCACCCTCACCTCCAGAGCCCCCCAGTCACTCTTGATACATTTGAGAACATGATGAAAGCATGAAGGCTGGGTGGAGAATGGATGGAGAGCAGCAGCCCTGAGGAGAAGGACTTGGGGTGCTGGGGGACGAGAAGCTCAACATGAGCTGGCAATGTGTGCTCACAGCCCAGAGGCCAATAACCGTGTCCTGGGCTGCATCCAGAGCAGCGTGGGCAGCAGGTCGAGGGAGGGGATTCTGCCCCTCTGCTCCGCTCTCCTGAGACCCTCCCTCTGCAGTGCTGCCTCCAGTTCTGGAGCCATCAGCATCAGAAGGACATGGACCTAATGGAGCGAGTCCAGAGGAGGCCACGAGGATGATGTGAGGGCTGGAGCACCTCTGCTATGAGGACAGGCTGAGAGAGTTGGGGCTGTTCAGTCTGGAGAAGAGAAGGCTCTGGGAAGACCTTCCAGCGGCCTCCCAGTACCTGAAGGGGCTCCAGGAAGGCTGGGGAGGGACTTGTGACAAGGGCAGGGAGTGACAGAACAAGAGGTGATGAGTTGAAACTGGAAGAAGGGAGACTGAGATGAGATCTGAGGAAGAAATTGTTTGCTGTGAGGGTGGTGAGACACTGGCCCAGGTTGCCCAGAGAAGCTGTGGCTGCTCCTCCCTGGAAGTGTTGAAGGCCAGGTTGGATGAGGCTTTGATCAACCTGTTCTAGTGGAAGGTGTCCCTGCTGATGGCAGGGGGGGTTGGACTGTATGAGCTTTAAGGTCCCTTCCAACCCAAACTATTTGATGATTTTATGAAAGTGTCACTGGTGCCCACCTGGATGAGCAGGCAGGAGTCACAGAGGGTTGGACAAGCCTCAGTGGTCTCCCCACAACATCGTGGATTCATGTGCGCTGATGGAAGTAATCAAATTTGTATACAGACTCAGAACATGACTCAGTATTTCTCTCTGATGGGCTCTGGAGAAGAGATGTTAAAACATCTAGCTCTGTCCAACTGAGGTGACCATGAGATATGCACAGCACCCAGAAAACCCAGCCCCCCAAAACTACCAGGACTGAATTCCCACATGGTAAGCCTGATACCGCCTTTTTAGTCTGTAGCTTGTGCTTAGTGTTTTGGGCTGCATCTCCTCTCTGGCTGTTCCGTTTCCACCTGCTCTCCAGCTAACCTTTACCTTCCTTTTTTTCACCTCAAACTTGTTTCTCTTTGTTTGGGACAGAACTTCAGCCTGCACTGGTGCAAACAGCCTGACGTCGGACTCCCAAAGCCAGATCTGATTCTGTTTCTTCAGTTAAGCCCAGAGAAAGCAGCGGAACGCGGGAACTTTGGAAATGAACGTTATGAGAACAGCTCCTTCCAAGAGAAAGTTCTACAGTCCTTCTATTATCTGATGAAAGACAAGACCTTAAACTGGAAGGTGAGGAACTAACCCTAATGGGTCTGTCAGGGACTGGGGTGGGGTGTCTCATGACAGCTCCCGAATTGTGCCCATCACATCCCTGTGTTCCCCCTTCCTGCCCCTGGTAAGAGGCCAGGGGGACACGTTGGGGACCACCCAAGGGCACTGTGGCCTGTTGCAGTGAGGGTACTTCTTCTTCCAGGACATGCTACAGGACCCTGTTGGGATGGAGGGAAAACTTTTGGTTGGTTGATTTGTTTTCTAAAAGAGCTTTGTGGAAATCATTCTCTTTCTTAAAGACAAACTGACAAACCTGGGTAGAAAGCAGTGGGACACCCTTGTGCTTTTCCATGACCATTTCCTTGGTGTCCTGCAGCATCTGCCAAGGATTCTGAAATCCCTCCTGCAGCTTGTAGACACAATACTGATGATCACCTTCCTTCTCACACAGCCGGTTTCCATCTTACTGCCACCAGAAGTCTCTCCAAATACATGATCTTTTTTGTTCCACGCTGCTGTATTGCTTTTCCTTCTTGTTCATCCATTTGAGACACTTGGAAAACTTTGTAGTTTGAGCAGTTTCAGTAAGACCTAGATTTTGTGTGGCCTTCCTAGGTTGATATGCTGATAGGTATTTGGAGCTGATTACATATTCTTTCATAAAAAGTGTATATATTTGTATATATACAGTTAATTACATAAATGTACATTTATGTTTAAAACATTAAAAATATTTAAAGGGATTCAGGGGAAAAAAAATTACTTTGTGACTTCTGTGGTTCAAAATTTAAAATGAAATGCCTACTGCTCTAGTATCAGCATTACTGTCTCACTGCTCTGTAGACCTTCTTTTTGAGTGTATTTAGGTAGAAGTTGGCTTTAAAAAAGCAGGTTGAGATGAGATCTGAGAGAAATTGTTTGCTGTGAGGGTGGTGAGACACTGGCCCAGGTTGCCCAGAGAAGCGTGGCTGCTCCTCCCTGGAAGTGTTGAAGGCCAGGTTGGATGAGGCTTTGAGCAACCTGGTCTAGTGGAAGGTGTCCCTGCTGATGGCAGGGGGGTTGGAACTGGACAAACTTTAAGGTCCCTTCCAACCCAGACCAGGCTGTGATTCTATGATCCCTTGGATTCCCAAATGGGGAAGTTTGGTTCCCCATTTATCCCATGTGTCTATCATGTAGGCTGAGGTTTTCTGGTGAGGGCATCCTTTTTACCATCTCCATCACCCTGACAGTGCTCAGTCATGAGACACAGGCAGCATCTTCTGCTTATTCTGTAGCTTTCATGCAGGAGGACACAGGTTATGAGTAAGTTACTAGTCACCAGAAGCTGCAGGTGTACACAGATTTGCCAAATAATCAGACTGCATAAGGGAAACTTAATTCTTCACAGCCTGTTTCAGGTAAACCTGATTCTGTCAAAGATTTTTTTGTGTATTGTCAGAACCTGAAGGACCTAAATGTACAACCATCATCAAACTAGAACTTTTATTCCAGTAAAGTTCCAGCCACCCAGGAGTGATGCAGTTGTTCTTTAAACTCCCTACATCACAATGACTGGAAAAAGGGCTGTCAGAAAACATGTACCATAGGACAAAACCCCAAAAGGATGCATTTAACAAAAATAAGTGTGCTGTCATATGAGACAATGTAGAACTCGTGTATAGTCTGCACACTCTGATCTTTCCAGAGATTCTAGCAGTGGACTGCATTCCTCTTACTACCTCTCTTTGTTATTTCTTTTGTTTTCTATCCATTGCGTGAAAGGAGTTTTCACTTAAAGCAACACATCTGCTTAAAACATCCCAAAGTGCACAACTATCAAACAGCTAAATATCAGAACAGATGCTGAAGAGGAGTCCCTGAAATGAGCACGGAAATCCAGTTTCAGTACCCGTTAAAGGCAGAGTTAGCATTCCTGGCTCTTTGGCCCTCAGTATCAGGCAGAATAACAGACATCAAACAAAGAACCGTTTAGTCCAGGGCATGAAACGGAGCTCAGTGCCATCGGTTACACAAATAAACTGAGATCAGCAAGCTGCTTCAGGATGTTGTGTGAGCACAAAGGTGCTGTAACAAAAAGGCTACCATTTAATCCATCGCATATCCTCGCAGCCTGTGATAAATCTGTACCTCTCCACATCTTTTCACCAAATCCTTCACCTTGGTCACTCCCTCAGCCACCCAGGAGTGATGCTGTTGTTCTTTAAACATCAGGCTGAGGAACAGCAGTTTCATACAGTTCTACCACCTTTACTGACCTCAGCTCAAAGTATTTTAAAAAAAATCCAAACAAATCTGAAATATGATGGATTTTTAGAGGTTCCTACTATCATGGGTGGAGTTTATTTTGAAGAATCACTGAAGGATCAATACAGTGATGTTTCTGGGGGACTACAGACCAGGATGAAGAACATTTACCTGCCTTTATATCACATGCCCCAAAGACTGTCAGCAAATATGCAGCAGCAGGTTTTCTTCCGTTGCCCTTCATCCAGCCTCACATCTACTTCTTAAATGTCTATTCCTGAATAAAATAGATTTTTTCCAATTGCACTCCAGAAGTGGTGCACAGGAGGTGTAATTAGCACATTTCACTGCTCATTAATACTATTAATACTGAGGAATGGGGGAGCAGATGTAACAGCAAGGTGAGTTTTTCTCGTTTGGTGTTATTAATTGAGGAACATGTTTCTGTATTTTTTTTTTTGTCTTGGAAACAGACAATGGATGCTTCAAAGAGCATAGAAGATTTGCACAAGGAAATCAAGTCCATTGCAGAGGAAACCATGCAGGAGGTTCAGAATAAACCTTTGGGAGAACTCTGGAAATGAAATTTTATACAGGTTATTCCTTTAGACCTGAGGGAAAACTCACCTCTTGGATCTTCTTGGTTGGATGACTCCCCTGCATCACCTTCCAGTAACTGCAGCTTAGATCCTGTGTATTCTTTGGGGTCCAGCATTGTGATTTTATCTGCTCCTCCTCTCCATCCTGCATAGCCTCTGCTGTATTTTATAAATGAACATGTGATGAGCATGTAACAAATTCCTAATAAAAACCTCCCAGTTCAAGTAGGAGCTCTTGTTCTAGTCTGTAGTGCAGATGTGGGTACAGAGCCCAGGGCTGCCCCTGGACACGGGCAGCAGCAGCAGGCAGCAGCCTTCCCGATTTCAGGGAACTGCCATGTTTCTGATTCTTCTGCTTCTCTAGTAAATGCATCCCCTCTGCTGAAACTAGTTAGTGGAGGACTTGCTAATAAATTATTCTTTTAAGCATTTTGCTCAAGGTTTTGTTGTTTTGGTTTTTTTTCAGTATGATCATTTATCTGCTAGAAGGGTATCTAGGAGGTGAAGGTACTGTGGTTCAGGTACCAAATCCCAGAGTCATACAATGTTGTGAATTGTAAGGGACCCACAAGGATCATG